GAGAAGAATATTAAATATACCATGGATTGCCAAAAGAACAAAACAAATCTGTCCTGGAAGAAGTACAACCAGAATGCTCCTTAGAAGCAGGGATGGTGAGACTACATCTCACAAACTTTGGACATGTTATCAGGAGGGATCAGTCCCTGGAGAAGGATATCATGCTTGATAAAGTAGAAGGTCAGCGAAGAAGAGGAAGACCTTCAACAAGATGGACTGACACAGTGACTGCAACAATGGGCTCAAGCATAATAACGATTGTGAGGATGGCACAGGATCAGGCAGTACTTCGTTCTGTTGTACATAGGGTTGTTACGAGTCAGAACCGACTCGATGGCACCTAACAACAACAACAGCTATGGTCCAGGATTCAAATCCAAAAAGTCTGGCACTAGACCCTGCCCTCTAAACCATTCTGCTACACTGCCTTGTTTTTGAGGAAAAAGATCTCTAAACTTTTCAACTTTGTAACTCTCTGAGGTTGTAGAGGGATTAGAGGGACACATATTGATGGTACCCTGAGAGGGGTGTAGGCAGTGGCTGGAACTTTATTCTAGGTCCTCACCTGTATATGTGACCTTCAGGATGTCCCTGTCCTCCAAGTCCTGGGGATCAGGGACCCATTGTTCTTCCCCACCTTCTAGTTGAGAAAGCATGTCCAGTTTGGGAATTGGAAATCCTGTCCATGGGAAAGGAAAATAGAGATGTCAATTAGTTCAATAGTAATTCTATATTTCTGAAAAAAAGCTGTTTCCCAGATTATTCCTTGGAATTTTAAATAAAAGGGGATCAGATACAGGCCTTTTTTTTTTTCCCCTCCTCCCCACCCCACCCATTTCCGTTAAGTCCCTCTTCTTCCTCCTAGAAATTCATACTTTCCTCCCCAATGAGTCTGACCTCTTCTGTTCAAATACTTCCAGCCCAACTTTCCTTTCTGGCCATAACTTCACTTAATTAGCCCTAATACAGCTGTCCCCTCCCCCAGCACCTACATCTCCCCCTAAATAGTTCCTGAGTTTCCATCTCTCAGATATGTCCCTTTCCCTGCTTTATAAGAACCTCCCAATTCCCAACCAAGAATAACCTGAAGTTCTTTCTCCACAATTCAGAATTATTTTGCTTTTTTTTTTTTTTAAAGATGCCTCACTTCCACTCTTTTTGGATTAGCTCCAACATTCTTTCTCTGATGGGAGCCTAGATTTCCTGCCACGGAAAGAACCCTAGACAGACACTATCCAACAGCCCTGGAGCAGATGGCTCCATCCTCCCAGAGTACAATCTTTGAGTGGCTGGGGAAGGTCATGCTTACTCAGAGAGACCACTATCCCACAGTTTTCCTGCATGACATATTCTCCATAAAAGTCTGTCTGAGAGGGGTCCAGGCTCCGCCACTCCTCCTGAGAGAAGCACAGCGACACATCCTTAATGGTTACCAGGCCCTGAAACAAAATGTGGCATCTTCTGTCAGCAGCTGTTCCCTAAGGAAAATGTGACCTCAGTATAAAAGGCTGAGGTAGTAGAGGAGACAGGGCGGGAGAGGATCTAGAAAAGGAATTAATCACCCAGAGGTCCCTGGGTAGGGCACATAGTTTTGGTAAAGAGGAAATGAAGAGGGAAGAGGTAGATCATCAGGGAGTGAGTGAAGGTAATGTCTCTAGAGAAGTTTCCTATGTGGGATCATGAGCAGTCAGAGGCACTACTAACTCAGCTCCCTCTGTTTACCTACAGGTGTCTGCCCAGTCTCTTCCCACCTGCCTTACTCTTTTCACTGCAGAAATTCTGTACCATCTCCTCGTTCTTCTACATGACCTTTCCCTTTCCATCGGCACAAAATGATATAGATAAAATATTCTTTCTTGCCTCCCCTGCTATGCCATATCCTTATCTTCTGAGGCAGCATAGTATGGTGTGTAGGAACCCAGATTCTCAATCCAAATGTCTCCTAGATCTGCCACTTACTAGAGTATGACGTTACACAAGTGCCTTAATCTCTCCCTACCCCGATTTTCTCATCTGTAAAATGGGGATAACTGAGTTGCTCTCAGGATTAAATAAATTAGTATATGTAAAGTACTCAGAGAACAGCACACATGGTAAGTACTCTGGGAGTGTCGCTACTATTATCATCTTCCCATGGCTCTCCTATTGCCTTCTGAATCTAAAGCCATTTTCCCTCTCTAGCTCTGCCCCTCTTCGTATCTTTCTTTCTTCTGAAAGTGCTCCATCATCCACCCAATCCTGCCCACTCAATGTTCTTCCAAGCCACCTTCAGGTCCCCTTTTCCTAATCTTTCTAGATTCATTTCTTAAAGGAATTAATTGTTCTGAAAATCCCCTTGTGGATAGCATAGCCATCCATTAATAACCCCTAATCTCCAAGGAATTCCCCTCTTCTTGCTATGCCTCCATTCTTCTTTCCGAAGCTATTTTGCACAAGGCAGGGATAGAATCTGCTCAGTTATTAGATGAGCACACCATTAGTGATCATGCGACATAACAAATCAATGGGGCGATTATAAAGGTATAGAAAGGCAGCAGTGATGAGGTCCAGGGAAGCACAGCCCACCTGTGATCCGGCTGCCAGTAGTGCAGCTGCCATCTCCCAGTCTCCGGTGCTCCCCTCCTGGGGAATGGCAGGAACCCAAGGAGCTGACTGAGCTGGTGAGGGAGAAAGGAACCATTAGAGAACTATGCACTCTTTCCCAGTGATGTGGGGTCCTGTTTTAGAGGGGTTTAAAGGTCCCATCTTCTCCTGTATCTATGCCTGTTGGTAACATTCAAAAATATGGATGAATAGGCCTTCACTCAAAATGTTCTATAAGGGTACTGGGTGGCTTTTAGTAGTTTTTATGTTATTCATCTCTACTAGCCTAGTTATGATTTGAATTTATATTATTTGAATGTGATTTTCATCTAGTAAAGTGCATCTCACTGGGTGTGTCCTCCAAGAGTAATCAGTGTTGCTGTCATTTCCTCGTCTTCCACAGTCACTACCCACTAACCTGAGCACTTGCCTTATATGGAGGGAGTGATTATGCTAGGAGTGGAGAGAAGCCCAGTCACATGGTTTACAGAATCCTGGAGCTCCTTCCATTCCTGAGACTAGGAAGACCTGACTGGTCCTGGTATTGGTTATATTGTTTGGTCCATGGCAATTTCGTGGTTCTTAACTCTACCTTTTGAACAGAGATTAGGAGATGACTCTGCATTATGCTTCCCACAGTACCCTGTGGGCTCTCACCCTTCTCCTGAAGAGACTGTGGCTCCTCTTCAAGGTCATAGCACAGGTGTTCCAGTGGCCCTGGAGCTGTTCTCCATGGCCCCTCTTCCTGGCTTCTCCTTTCCACCTGGGGCTCTGCTCCATCCAGCTGGACATTCATTGATTCCCATCCGGCCCCCAGGGCTGCTGTCTGCTCTGAAAGCATTTTGGCTGCAAACCCAAATTGTGACCTGGAACAAAGTCATATCAGCTGTGCCCATGAAAACGGTAAGGGATGATATTTCTAAGGGAGTTATGGAGAACAGCCCCAGGGATAAAAGATGAAACTGGATAGAAGAAGCCTGATGGAAGATGAACCTTAAAAGCTTGATGTGTTCTAATCAACTGAGCCTGACACCAGACTTCTTGGAGGAACTAAGAAATTGGCAGGTGCTACATAGCAAAGTCACTAACTGTTATTTTGGGGACCTCGTGGTAGAAGCAGAATATCCCTGAAGGCTGGAAGAAGTTCATTAAAAAAAGAAAGAATGATTCTGGAAATTAAAAAAGCTATCCATTTAATTTCAACTACTGAAAATACAGGATCTGCACTAAACAAAGATGGATATAACGGCACATAAAACTTTCTGTCACAAATCACATTCTCATCAATTAGTTTAGAATGAAATTATTACTACAGGTAGAAGTCCCAGGCAAAGGGTTATGTGTGTGATGAGCATGTATCTCTTTTATGAGGCTGAGTCAAATGTGCCTCACGTAGGACAAGCCTTAACAGACACATCATCTGTCTCCGATGAGAACTGACAGTAAATATGGTAGAAAGACCAATATCTTGGAAAGTGGGTATAACACTCCAAAGCAACTCTAATAGATAAAATAAATTCTTGGTCAGTGAGGAGCTGATGTTTAGTAGGGAAAAGCAAAACAGAACAAAAAGGGTTTGGACCAGAGGTGGAAAAAGAGGAAGCAGTAGGGCTAACATGACCCCGGGGTGAATTAATGGCCCTGTGATTTGAGACACAGGAATGAATCTGTTTGGCAGGGATGACTCAGAGCTCAATAGAAAACCATATTCAATTTTAAAGAAGGGTGTGGAGAAGCCAGAGTGTGTTCAGAGGAAGAAACAAAAGTGAAGAGAGGGATGGGAAATAGGACCATTGGGGAAAAGTTAAAAACGATGACGTAATTTTCTCTTGCCTGGAGAGGGCTGATGAATGATGCTACCGATGAATAAAAAGAGACGTGTTTTCTATCTTTATGTGGATCAAATGGAAGAAACAGGCTTTGATTACAAGAGAAGAGATTTAGGTTAGATTTAAAAAAAATTTCTAAATAACAATCCTGCAGTGTACAGGACCAGGTTGTGAGCTCTTCTTTTCCCTGGATATCTTAAGAGCAGGACAGGTAGTACTTGTGTTGTGATAGGGCCTCCCTGCCTTACGGCAGAGAAATAAGTCTATGAGACTGAATAGAATCCCTTCTTGCTTGGCAACATCATACTTCTGGGATTCTTATTCAGTACCCAAACAGTCAGTGCTAGTGAAAAGCTTCCAAGATCAGAATCTTAGTAACTATTCTGGCCCACTCTTGAACAGACATCCATCCAATAACGTTTGCAAGAACCCTGAAGGCCAGGATAGGTAAAAACAAATGTCAAAATCGTTTATTTTCTTCCATTTTTGTCTCTGACAAAAGAAGAGGAAAGAGGAGGTGGGAACCCTAAGTCCACACACAGGGAGAACAAATTCCCCTTTCATCTCAGAAGTCCAGAAACATATGAGGGCCTCATGGGAGCATCCTGGACTGATTCCCAGTTTAGGAGAAGTCTCCTTTTCAGACATTTCTCATGAGAAAGGAAAATCTTGATAAACCAATAAAGGGAAATTTCCATTTTAGCTCTCTTCTTTAGCTTCTCTACAAGGGGCTTTACTGAATTCCATCTCCTGTATTCTCTTCATTTTTACCACACAAGACACTAATTCCCCCTCTTCCTCCAAGGTCTTCCTTGTTTCCTACCTCCCTCGGCAAATCCTCTTCCAGGGCTTTACTTCTTGCTAAATATCTGGACACAAGTCTCAAACTCATTTCTCCATTTCCCCCAACAGCAAAGTCCTTTGATGGGATGCCTCTTAGAGCCCACTGGGCCAGCTGTGAGCCTCTGTTGACTGCCGACAGACAACCTGTAGATGAGCTGGCAAAATCTCAGCAAAGGATGGGGTAGGTTCCTGTCCTCAGACTGCATTTCCTAAGATGTTCACCGTGTCAGAGCCAGCACCTGGGCAGTTAAGGTGGCAGTCCTAACCTGGTTTCTCCTGGTTCCAGGATGATCCTGGGTTCTAGGGCTTCCATCTCCCCCTTTTCCTCACATATCTGAGTAGCAAGGCACCTGCAGAAGGAAGCTTTTGCAGCTAGTGCTGCTGAACAGAGAAAGGGCCATGTCATCGAAATGTGTAGCCCAAGGGCACAGGGACGTGTAGGGCTCCCTCCGGGATCTCTGGCCCCTAATCGGGGTTGGGGCGTGGGCGGGGCAGGAGCCAGCTCCAGGGTAAGGCTGCTTCTTTTCCCCTTCTTGTCACAGTGCCCCTGGAGAGGGTCAGATTTCAAGAATCCGAGTGGATTAAACTGGAACAGGGGAAGTGAGGTCAGAAAACAGGTTTCTAGTGAACTGGGGCAAGAACAAGTGGGGTAACCTGTG